TTTATTATCTATTTGATTATGTTTATCCGCAGTTAGTTACATGAATTCAAGCATAGAGCTTTAATAAGTTGTATTTATGAACAATTTACTTATAATCTTGAATTTTAAGTAATATGCATTGATAAATAATCTTTTATGTATAAAAATAGTTTTTAAAAGTTTTTTGGCAAATGATTTATAATATAGTATATATATATATATATATATATATATATTTAAAAAGAAAACTTAATTGACGGATATCATAAATACTTGATAGTTAAATCAATGATTATTAACTAAAAATAATTAATTTTGGTGTAGACGAAATAAAATTAAAACATAGGATAAAAGAACTTGGCGGATCACTCTCAAGAAGCATAATTTCGGTTTCCTTTTCATCTCCAAAGTAACAAAAGCTATCTAATGAGAGGATGATATTTGATTGATTTGAGCTTGACATTTAAAGATTAAAAGTGGTTGAAGGTTTTAGGTTCGAATCCAAGGAAAAATAAAAATTTTCTTGTGACCACAGAGGTTCAAATACGGTGATTTCAGATTACCCACAATGTGGGTGGCCGTCCTGGAATTAGTCGATTAGTATAACATGTTGAATATTTAGGTTAATAAAAAAAAGTCGTAACGAATTAAACTTAAACGGTATCAGAAAAAAAGTAAATATGGATAATAAATTTGTAATTATCACTGATCATAAGATTTTTAAATAGGAACGAGTTTTCAATAAACAAGAAACATTCTTTTATGATAAATTCTATTACTTGAAAATTATTGTCCCAGTCATCATTTTTTGATAATTTCCTTTTGCTTACGCTTTCTTAGTCAACCCACATAAATCTTTCAACAATAATTTCATTAAAAAGGAAGAATGTCGCGGACTTTATCCACCGGATCAACATCAAGTTTCGATAATTTCCATCTTTGACCCACACCATTTTCATTTTTCAGACGTCAAGGAAATATTTTAATCCAATATTTCAAGGAATTTTATCTTCTCATTATTTTAACTCCAAATCGTTCTCCAACTACAGAAAACATCGTGGTTATACGAAACACATAACATAATTTTTTTTTTGTTTTTGTAAATAGTTTTAATAAAATTTCCAAGCATTTTACTATGATCTATCGATGACTATGAACACCTGGTGACCAAACTCATGGTTCTGGAGCTCGACCCCTGTTTTCAAATACAAAGTCATCAGCTCGATCAAACGGCTTTGCATAACATATTCGGTAAATCGAATAAAGTAAGGAGTCACAAAAAAACGACAATCTGATTGTTAAATCTTTGAATGGTTAGCTCAACTCTTAAAAAAAATTAGATTTTAGGGCTACTTCCTATAGGTTACTGGTTTGAGGTTCCTACAAAGCCGTTAAGGTTTCCTAGTTGTTCTATTAGTTGAGGTTTGTGCAAGCTCTTGTATTAAGGTGACTAAATAAAGGCTAGGAAAGGACAATAGAAATCTACTACTTATTAACTCAAGGTGAGTGCTTTGTACCCTTAAAGTCATTTTGTCCCCACCGTATGTGGTTTGTGTTCTCGACTAATCATTTCTTAAGATAAAATGAAGCAACGTATGTAAGATCAATTATCAACAATGCATGGTTGTCAATGACCTTGGATGAATTAGTGAGTTTTCAAGGATCACAAAACACCAAAAGGTGTGTTTCTATATTAACACAAGTTAAAGTAGTATGGCGTTAGAGAAAAAGTAAAAATTTCAGTGTTTATAGTGCATTTTTCTGTGACAACCTTCAAGATTTCACAAGTAACAAAATTATGTCATTTGGCATTAATGGTGACGGTTCAAGCCATCCTAAACTGTTCAAATAGGTGTGGTTCAAAGAAAGTATTATTAAAGGCGACACTTAGAAATGTCGTGATTGTTCTAACTGGCATCATCGAACATGTATACCTGATTTTTGTTGCAAATCAAGGGACCAACGATTTTGTGGCACGTGTCTGACACATTGATAGGACAATCATCATTAACGGTGTAGCATTCATAATGAATATTGTAAAAGTTTATGCCCATTCTTCTTAAAGAATGAGGACATGTGTAACCAAGTTTGCAAATGAATTTTTCTCTCTTTCTCTCTCTATATATGTGTGTGTGTGTGTAGACTTGAGATCCACGTCAGAAAAAAGATTTTACTGAGAAGCATGAGAAATGGTGATTGTACCTTATATTGTGTGCATGTCACATATATTTTGTGAAGGTGGTAAAAGTTACAAGACCAGAAATATATCTATACCAGCTTGTGTCGCCGCATTTACCCTCACACGCCTTCACATAATACAAGGGTACCTTCACATATATTATGTGAAGATAGTTGGGTTTCAGTGAGAATACTTCTAATATGTTGGATGAGTTGATTTTTAATCTAATGACTAAAAAAACTATGAACTTTTAATTACCTTTGAATGATTGTTGACAAAGAAACACAGACTCTCAACTACCTTCATCAACCTTAATCTTTACTTTCAATGACCTTCATGAACGTTTACATATCTTCAATTATTTTCACACGAATAAAGTTGTAAGAGTTTTATTCATGGTGATAGAAATTGGCTAATAAAAGTAGTAGAAGGTCTTGTTTTCATATTCTCACCATAACTCTTATTGTTACGCATCCCAAGTTGAAGGTTCCCTGTTCTTGGTTAAACTAGCATATGCACCCCACCCACTCGTATATATAGAGTGTTAGGTTCAAATGAGAAACACAAAAATGTTGAAATGAGATAAAAATCTCAACCACTAGTTTAAAATTTTGATTTCCAAGTCTTTTTTCACAAATTAAGATAACTATGGAAAAAAAATCAAATGTCCTAATTTATCTCATATTTTCTCTATAATTTTTTTTGATATCGACAATTATCGATTTTATCCAATTTTCCACCAACAAATCATTGGCAAGTTTACAATCTACAAATCAAATTAATCTAATATGTGCACATGAATATCAATGTTCTTCATCGGTCATTCCAAATGTAACCAAACACAAAAGATCTCAACAAACCATCGTCAAACGGTGATAATTAATTAAGTGAATATTGGTTCACTCATATGTGACATGTAAATCTGACACATAGATTCACATGTGAAGAATAATGATAAATTGCATGTGAATCAATTTAAAACCTATAATCGAGATTCTAAATTAGTTTAAGATTTATATGTTTGAATATGTGAATTCTAACATAGATTCATATGTGAATTCTAACATAGATTCATATGTGAATAACAATATGGAGTCACAGGTGAATCTTGATTATATCTTGTACTTGAATTAATTTACAACTTATAGTTTATGATTCATATATGGATCCTAATATATCTACACACACACACACACACACACATATATATATATATATATATATATATATATATACATATATCATGGAACTTAAATTGAAGATAATGAAATTCTCATTTTTTTGTAACTTATTTAGATAAAATATTAATTATATTTTAGATAATTTAGTTTAGAATAAAATGAGTAATCTAATTTTCGTTTTAAAAAATAAATTTGTTTTTGACAAAAGAGTGAATTAGTGATTTACTGGCTTGGATTATGATTTAATTAAATAGAGGTTTCAAAATGCGCCTCTCAACTTCTCTAGGTTCTTTAAATTAGTCACGGCTTTATCTACATTTATATATTTTATCCTTAAAATTTTGTACATTTTAAATCTCATCTAATGGTTGATATCTCTTCTTACATTCTCAACATTTTTTTGCTTCTCAACGGATCATTTAAAATTCTTAGACTTCACTAAACTTAAGCATACCTAGCATAGCCCTTTTTTTTTCCTTTAATTGGATTCCTTACATCCCCTATGATGATGTGAAAATACATATAAACCCATCAAATTACTTTCCAATAATCCTTGAGAAGATAAAGGAGTTCCAATAAATATAGAGGAAAGATGATAAAAATCTAACTGATTTGGGGCTCCAACAGATCATTTATTGTTCTAGATAAATAGATTTGCAAACAAACTTGAGAGCCTATTATGTAATATTACAACATATATATTTACATAAGATATCAAATAGGGTTGGCGACAGTAATGGCGAAGGCGACTAAGATGGAGTTGTACCACCGGAACCGGTAAGTAAAAAGGAAGCAATGCTCTCTGCAAGCATTAGCTTCTCAATGGAGACTTTTTCACCAAACCTATATGAGAAACAAAGTTGTCCTTGTGACTCAATGGAACCTAAATTCAAAGGAAAACGGACAACTGCACTGCCACCAATCGGATATGCATAATCGTAAAGCTCTTTCAAGGATCGATGTACTTCTCCTATATATCTATCCCCAAGTTTACGCTTACAATATAGTTTGATCACAAGCATCGTGCCATGGTGCTCTACCCATGACTCGCCTACGGCGTAGTTCATGGTGTAGTTCCATGCAGGATTGGTTTGACCATGTTTGTCTACCGGAGTTCGCTTCTCCATTGTCTTGTTACCTCCGATAAATACCTGTTCCAAATCAAGTTTGGAATAATTATTTCAAGAGAAGAGACAAAATGAATGCAATCTAACTTGGATAGCTTGTGGTTCATTTTAAAAAATATTGAACTTGTCAAAAGATGTTATAATAATAAGTTAATAGGACAAATCATACAATCTAAGAAGTTTCGTTTTTAGTTGTTACGAAGAAATTGGACAACTTAATATGATTCCGAGAAGTCTTTTTGCAAATTATTTCTTAATTATAAGTATCAAACGAGTTTTTCAATTAAAAAATGTCGTAAAAGATGATTTATATATTCACATCACTCGTAGATCTCAAATATATGATATCGAATGACTTTTTAAAAAAATGCAAGAGTAAAATGATCTTATCACATATATATATATATATATATGTATATATATATATATATATCTTACCATGTTATATATATATATATGTATATATATATATCTTACCATGTTATATATATATATGTATATATATATATCTTACCATGTTATATATATGTATATATATATATCTATACACTAATAAATAAGTAACTTTAGGGACACGTGTCATGTTTTTGTGCGACGGTTATTGATTTTTACCGCCTAAACATGTACCTAGACACAATATTCACTTACGGTTCAAATAGATCTATTTAAGTGACATCTGTCCCTCTACACGTTTATTTTCCTGTTTTAGTGGTTTAACTGATTTCCCAGACTAATTAGAAATCTCTGATATGTTTTCTATAGTTTCTAAGTCTGGAGGCTTCTTTTCCAGACTTAGATATCTGAACGTTGAACACGTATGTAGACACAATTTACATTACTGGTTCAAATAGGCCTATTTATTTGACATCTATCCCTGTAAACATAAATGATTTCCGTATTAAAAGGGATTTCTTTTCAAATACTTAAATAAGCAAAAGTCTAGATTTTCAATCCTTAGGCTTATAAGTCTGAACTCCTTTTTCTTAGTTAAAATTCAGAGTTGTCTGCCAGACTTATAAGGCATACCAATATAAAAGTCTGAGGACAAGTTTGAACTCCTTCTCCTCAGTTAAAATTCAGAGTTGTCTTCCAGACTTGTAAGACATACTAGTATAAAAGTCTGAGAACAAGTCTGAACTCCTTCTCCTCAGTTAAAATTCAGAGTTGTCTTCCAGACTTGTAAGACATACCAGTATAAAAGTCTGAGAACAAGTCTGAACTCCTTTTCCTCAGTTAAAATTCAGAGTTGTCTTCCAGACTTGTAAGACATACCAGTATAAAAGTCTGAGAACAAGTTTGAACTCCTTTTTCTCAATTAAAATTCAAAGTTGTCTTCCAGACTTGTAAGACATACAAGTATGAAAGTCTGGGAAAATCAGAGTTATAAGTATAAATTTAACTCTGAAGTGGTCTTCAGACTTACAACATAACTCTGGGAAAATTCAGAGTTGTAAGTCTGAATTTAACTCTAGAGTGGTCATCAAAACCGGGTTTAAAATTTCAGCTCGACCCCAGCCAAGGCTCTGCCCCTTGGACCCCGCCAAGGGCTGCCGCCCCTTGGACCTCGCCATCGGGGGAGCTGCCCCCGGATCCCCGTCGTTTAGGGGCTTCGCCCCTAAATTAAAATAAACTCAAACAAGTGTGCACTCCGCACCTTCCTTACTTGTTCGATATTTATCATGATTACATTGGTCAAGAAAATTAATCCCATTACACTTAAATGACATTAGTGATACAAATCACCAACATGAAGTAATCAGATATTGGTTATTTCTCAGACTTACAACATAACTTTGAATTGTTTTGTTCCAAACTTAGTTCCATAGTTTATTCCCAGCTTATAATACAACTCTGAACTCTTCTTCAGAGTTGAAGTTCAAAGTTACGTTTCTGAGTTATAAGAAGTCAGAATTTTTGTGACTAAGAGTTATGTTAATAGATATTTTCTAGACTTAGAAGACAACTCTCTTATTCAGAGTTAAGTCCAGAGTTATCTTCCAGCCTAACAATAGAACTCTGAATTCTTGTGTTTCGGAGTTAATGTTCAGAGTTTTCCTCATTTAAAATACTCTGTGTAATACACGGGGTCGAACCTAGTATACATATATATATATATATATATATATATACAACTCCTTAAATTTGTACAACCAATACAACTCAATCTTAATCGTCCATTTAATTTAATGAATATGTAATTTCATAGAAGTTTTGATTGTTTTCTAATATAAAGTATTGATCATAATTAATGAACCTTATTCATTTTTTATAAATATTTAAATCATAATAAATAAACTCTCATCATTTTCATAAAATTTCAATTAATTGAGTTGCATTGGTTGTATAAATGTGATGAATTGCATTTGAAACAAACGTTTTCTATATGTGTGTGTGTATATATATATATATATATATGTGTGTTACCATGTTTTTTAAAAGTCTTTATTCATTCTTGACACTTTACTGGATGATATATAGTTGATAACATGCATATAAAAGAAATAACGTTTTTGCTGCTGTGAACTTGTTATGATTAAAAATAGAAGCAGTGAGATATAATTCATAAGTGATGATATCAATCCATTATCCATCCTTGATTTGAGATGATGAAATATATATATAGGATAGGATAGCAAGTGAATACCTTGGCATAAACTTTCATTTTGAAAAATCTTCGTACTTCTCTCAAATCATTTGCAGAATTAAGGGTCAACTCCAAATTTCTGCACTCCATCTCTCTCTCTCTCTCTCTCTCTCTCTCTCTCTCTCTTGCTACCTTACGTTGTGCTTGATTAGCTCTTTTGAGTGTTAAGCTTTTCCACACACATATATATATATATATATATAGAGAGAGAGAGAGAGAGAGAGAAAGAGAGAGAGAGAGAGAGACGACTTTTAATAGGTAGCTAGACTTCCTAATAGACTTCCAATAAAAAATTAATTTATATTTGTTTATAATTAAAAATATCCTGAATCTATAATTCATTTGGCAGGATCTGTTGATCATTGACGAATTCGTAAACATTTGAGCAGTTCTCGAACGTGTGATTTTTATTTATACTTTGAAAATATATTATTACTACAAAAACGAAATATCAATTTTAAAAGTTACGTTTGAGGGAGATTTCATTCATTTCTTCGTTGATCGGAACATGTTCAAGGACGGACTCCGAAAATTATTATAGTAATAGTAATTTCATATATAAGTAAATTGGTTAGAACAATATTAGGAGGGGACTTGGCTCCACCTTGTCGTCCCATTGTCTACGCCACTTAATATGTTGAACCTGCATTGACCGGTACTTTGGTTATTTATTACAACCAATAGAATCCGTACTCGTTTAGTCTTGTCAGCTTTCATAATCAATTAGAATGAAATAGACAAATTTCAATAAGTATATGAAACATTGGAGAAATCATACAAATGACCAAAATACATAAAAGAAATCAAAAAAATAACCACACTTTATGTATTTACCAAAATAGACGGTACTCTTTTCAATGAAATTTGCCAAATGACGAATTCCTTATTTTGTTATAAAAAGTCAAGAAATCCTCATGTATTTCGCTAATACTGAAGATCTCTTCACTTTTAATAACATGTGAGATCCATTTCATGACAAAATGATAAATTAGCCTATTCACGAATTTGGTTGGTGCAAGTAGGATCTATTTTGGTAAATACATATTTTGTTGATTCTTTTATGTTCTTTGATCATTTATGTGATTTTTCTTAAAAATATTTTGTATTTAAATGATAAATTTAAAATAAGAATAAACTTGGAATATTGGGAAAGAGGAAAGACCTCTAAGAATATGTTAAGGAAATGAAGTGAAAACAACAAAACTACGCAAGAAGGCACTACTAGAAAACTGGGCATTTCCGGCGGATTTTCCGGCGGACAAATTCCGCCGGAATTTTTCCGGCGGATTACCGGCGGATTTCCGGCGGTGTTTTAAAAAGTCAACTTTTGTTGACTTCCGCCGGAAATCCGCCGGAATTACACCGGAAAAGTTAAACCGGTTATATTTCCGGCGGATTTCC